TATACATTACATTTTTTTAATTATGCTACTAAAAATTAAATTTTTTATTGTACAAATTTGGGTGTTTGAAGTAATTTCCAGTGTTGGAAAGAGATTCGATCATGTGACATATGATTCTAGAATTCCAAGAATGATAGGCTGTGAATGTGAAAGCAACTTAGGAGGGAAATACTTCATTTTTTGGAATCATCAAATGTGAATTTGTTTATTAAAATCTACGCGGCGTATTGAAACTATAACTAAACAATTTACTGAATAATTATGCATTCTAGTTTTTTCAGATTGAGATACATCGTACACTAAATCCTACAGATGATGAAATGCTGGAGCCATTTTGGCAGGAATCAAGACCTTTTGATGATGAAGCGGATCCTAAGCTGGATAATGTCGTGTTTGAGGATGATGGTGGAAACAATTCTGAGAGTGATGATGCACCATCAAGAAAAGGTCACCCACAAAATCCTAAGACATTTGATCGACCATTCGTGTCTAGCCATCAACATTAATCTAAAAAAGCTAGACAACCATCACCCTCTTCTTATGATTATATCACTCACATAATAAAATAAGAAATAAAAGGAGTTGAGGAGAGGCTGCGAGGTCACATGTCAGAGCACTTCAATCTAGTAGAAAGGAAAATTGATTTGTTTCTCCAATTGGTTGTAGAGGTGGAGTTCAGTCGGAAAGAAGGGGATTTGATAAGGTGCTTGTAGTAGAGACAATCAACAGAATGAATAGGCAAGGGTGGAAGGGGAGGTGATTATTGAAGATTGCTTTAACGAAGAAATTACACTGACTAAACAACACAAGGCTTTTCCTACATATGATGATGGTATATTCTCTCTGTTACTCTTTGTAATAAGCTAAAAATAATTCTTTTGTTGGGTCTCATTTGTAGTATTTGTGCCAGATCCTTCATCTACCCTAGTTGTGTACCAACAACGGCCTTTATTCTGGTTTGGAGATAATTTTCGGACCGAGAAAGCTCGACAAGATGAGGTAAGTGAAAAGATGGTTAGGACGAAAGATGATTCAAACATATTTAACAAAGGTATTTATAATTTACATTTCAATATTTCACATTTCAATATTGTGTGTTAAAATGGATTGAATTGTGTGTTTGAT